ATGCAAAGTCCTCTGTTCATTATATAAATTCAAGAGCAAATCTGGGCGGAAAAATGACCGCAAAATTACTCATAACAATAGGTCATATTGATATAGAGCGAAGCATGGTGCATGAGCAAAGCTCTTTTCCGGTAACACAGACTCTTGATTAAAAAAAGTTCAGACAAGAACCAAATACACTGGGCAAAACTGGCTATGAGATTATGCATCTAATCAATGACATCACATATTTTTGACGTCAGAGAAAATAATTCTCAAACTTTTTTTGTTCTTTTTTTTTAAACAAAATTAATTATACACTTTAGATCAAAATCAATTTAGAAAAACAAATTTATTTAACAGAATTTATATCACTTGAGAAACTTGATTACGAAGGTTTTATATTTAACAAAATCACAATCAGCTTTGTTATACTCAGGCATTCCTGTTCAGGGGGAGGAGGGCAAGAGGGGTAGCTACCTCCCCTGGAAATAATCGGCTTTGGGCCTGGGCCCTGTTTCTCGAAATCTTAACTAAAGATAAAATCCAAATTTTAGTACACGTATTTCAAATTTGATTGGCTAAGCACTAAAATTCATCTAATATAGAGCGAAGCCCACAAGCATCGAGCGAAGCGCGGTGCTTGAGCAAGACTCTTTTCCGGTAACACAGGAGTGTTAATAAAACAGTCACCACAGACTGTTGATTAAAAAAAAATTCAAACTGGGAACAAATGGCAATGCGCATGCCAACTTACCAAATCTCGCCTAAGCGAGATTACACGTCTCATAGAAATATTTCTATGACGTATCAATGATGTCACATATTTTTGACGTCAATGAAAATAATTCTCACACATTTTTTGTTCTTCTTTTTAAAAACAAAATTAATCATACAATTTAGATCTAAATTAAAATTAATTAAGAAAAACGAAATTATTTAACATTATATGTTTGTATCAGTTGAGAAAATTAATTATGAAGGTTTTATATTGAACAACAATCACATCAGCTTTGCTCTACTCAGGCAATGCCTGTTATGTATTATTATCCAGTCAAATTACTAAAAATTGGATTTTTATCTTAGTTAAAACTTCGTGAAACATGCGGCCACTGCAGTGTTATTTATTACTCCATAATATTAATGCCATTGATTTACAAAACAAAAAAGAATATTTAGTTGGCTACTTTATTTACTATAAATAATTGTCTTCAGTATTGATACATTTTGCCGATATATTCAGGTCTAGTATAGATGCAATAATTGTATTCGTTTGGTCGTTCATTTTTAGACAGGCTCACTGACGTGTCATTCAGTGGCAGTGCCAGTTTTTATGCCGTTTTTCTTAGCAACAATCGACAGCAGCCATATGAATTGTGATTCCTTATTTCGTTTCACTTACTTTGAAAATCTGTTATGTTCATCATCTTGACTGACTAGAGGATGTAATTAAAAACGAAATACAAGAAAATTCACCGAAATGGTTTGTTTTGGTGCACAACTATAAACAAAACATTAATTTGTCACGTTGGCCAATTTTACAAACCGGATACGTGGTTGATTTTTAACTTTATTTTGAAAACCTACTCAGGGGAAATCACTCTGGTAACAAAGTCACGGAATTCGTCAAAAATTTATTGTGGGTTTTATGAATAAACAAAATAAATAATTGGATACAAGAAAAGTGTAATACCGAATGTTCGTCAATAGTCGTCTTTTATAGAAATATCAAAACGAGATAAAATCAAATGCCCCCCCCCCCCCACACACACACACACCCTCGTGAAGCTCGAGACTATCGAGCGATAAATTTATTGTGCAAGCGAGACAACTTAGTCTTAAAAACGTTGTTGGAATCAGACCTGCTTTCAATTGCACCTTCACTTGAGAGAGAGAGAGAGAGAGAGAGAGAGAGAGCGAAATGGGGTTTAACGTCCACTCGACACAAACTAGGTCATTTCGAGACTAACATATGGTTTTAATTTTATTCCAATAATTCGCTTGCGCGTATAAGGGGTCCTTAGCAGTGGGAGAAAACCGAAGGACCCGGAGAAAACCCACGAGGTTAAGGACAGGCGACCCTACTCCTTGCCACGTACAACCGGGGATTCAAAACCATGCCAGTCGACTCAATGACAGACTTTATGATACAGCGCGCGCGCTAACCATTCAGCCATCCAACCCCCCCACCTTCACTTGAAGATGGGGCAACTGTCGGCTTTAAATATCTTAACGGCTACTTATTTTTTGCACCGTGTCTATGATGATATGACAATAATTTTATCTGAGACATTAATCATGAATCTCACAACACTAGCAGACGGAAGCTGGGTGACATGATCGAGACCTAATAAGATCAGGAATCTATGATAATTTAATAGTTTGCCACAATTATGTCAACAGCACCCAGATACAAATACAAATAAAACAAGAGGAAGTAAAACTCTATATAAGAAGATCAAATAAAAATATCAGAAAAAAAACTTCACAAACAGCTAGAGTAGGCTACCGGAAACACAACTGTACAGAACAATTTACCTGAAAGTGTAATAAGGGCAAAAACCACTAAAACATTTGAAAACCGTCTGGATAAATATTGGAAAAAAACAAGAACGTCTCTATGACTTCAAATCCAACCTCATCACCCAAAATGAAAGAAGCGAAACCCGTAATATGGATCTAAGTATAGTGGCCAACGGCTAGCGCTCAGAAGACGATCTGTATAAGTATCTGTAAGTAGCCTATAACCCAAATAGTAGGCCTACGCATGACCTTATATAAGTTCCAGTGTTTTTCGCTACGGAGCATAATATGCATCAACTGATCTCAACCAACTACGACAGTTATACTTCAACATTATGTATGAGGTCTGTTTGATTACGTCGCAATATAATCTGTCATTGGCCTGAATTACATATCAACATTACATCATAATCCCAATGCCCAACCGGTATTAAACCGACGCTACAAATCGACACAGCTAAAAAAACGGGAGCCACAGTGTATGGCGTATGCCCGTCTTCATTAGCCCAGTTCGGAGCAGAACAGTAGGACGTTAAACTCCATTTCATTTCACACGGTATGGCGTATAATCCCATTTTATTTCAAATCATATTGCTCAACTTATAGTGTTAAACCGATATGCTACATATCGACCCAACCCAAAGTGTCCAGACCACCCACCCCCATGCACACATACAAACACTAGTTGTATAACGTCTGGGTTTTTGTGACCAAACGGGATCTTTTTTAAGTGTTATTAAAGTCACCTAATGAAACTGACGAAGAAACAAATGACAAAATGAAATGAAGTTCACATTCATCGATTTATTCCAAATGATCGTTAGACTAAGTAAGACACAGACTGACCATTATAAGGGTAAAATGATACCCGGGGTCAAACAGCAAAGTTACCACAGCATCACAACCAAGTCAGTAACGGGTAAATCCTCCTCTGTTTGCCAAACAAGCATTGACCCGACGTGGCATATTCCTAATGAGACGTCTAAGGTCATTCTTGGACATTGGCAAGACGTTGTTGACGTTGACGTAACCTCTGTCCAAGCATGTCCCAGACATGCTCGATGGGGGGGAGGTCGGGACTCAGTGCTGGCCAAGGTAATGTGGTGATGTTCTGTTGTTGGAGGTAACCTGTAACGATCCTGGCCCTGTGACATCTCGCGTTGTCATCCTGGAAGATGAAACGGCGGCCATGACGTCGTGCGAACGGCACAACATGGACTGCCAAGATGTTGTCCCGGTAGTACTGGCCTGTAACACGCCCTGCAACAACATGTAAAGCCGTTCTTCCAGCAACAGTGATGCCTCCCCACACCATAACAGAACCACCCCCAAATCGATCATGTCTGATGACGTTAACGTCTTGGAAGCGCTCGTTTCGACGACGCCACACCCTCCTACGTCTGTCCAAAAAATCAACAGTGAACTTTGACTCATCTGAAAACATCACATTGCTCCAGCGTCGATTATCCCAGTGTTGACGATCCCTACACCAACGACGTCTTGCCTGAATGTGATGATCTCTCAAACAAGGGATCACGCGAGGACGTCGGGCGCGAAGGTGACCCCTATGCAGTCGATTCCGAATCGTCTGGCCACTCACTCTCACACCAGTGTCTGTTTGAAGACGAGCGCTGATCTGATTTGCTGTGATGACACGATTTCTCAAGGCCAAGGTACGGATAAATCGATCCTGGGCTTGAGTTGTCGCCCTTGGTCGACCTGAGCGTGGTCTGTCCTGTACAGATTGTGTATCACGGTATCTGGACCATAGCCTGCTTATGACAGACTGAGAAACATTCATCGTCCGCGCCACAACCGCCTGTGTTGTGCCGATCTGTAGCATGCCAAGGGCACGTAACCTTTCATTTTGGGTAAGCCGACGCATATCAAAATTTGTTTTCTGGTCACTAAAACAATTAAACTGATGTTTCCACCCTGGAATTCAATGCCACAATGACTGTAACATTCAAAGTCAGAGTCGTGCAAATCTTGGGTTGGACCCCCATGATGATCCCAAGCATCACCTGCATTCCATGCGGTAGCTATTGGTGCGTTTGGGCGTCACATGTAACTGGAAATGTTTCTTCTGTTAGGTTCTATAATGACTTTTTTCGTAGTCATTTGCATATTTTAGTATTATGCCCCCAAAATCAAATATCCCCTACTTTTTTTGAATAGTATATGTTAAATTGGGGGCGTTTTGTAAATAACGTCTTCACATACAAACACTAGCTGTATAACGCCTGGGTTTTTGTGACCAAACTAAATCTTTTTCAAGTAATGCGTGTTATATGTTAAATTTGCGGCGTTTTGTAAATGACGTCTGGTTTTTTTAAATTTTATTTCTATGAACGATTATGTGGATACATTACTAATATCGTGTTAAGTAAAACGCACAACAATAATAAAATATAAACATAGATGTCAAGTGAAGGTCTATTTGACACGTTCATAACATCCAGATAATGTCATTATATAAGACCGCGGTGATTATCAGCTTGATACAAATAACTTTAACATTACCCAGACATAAATACACTCGTGATAACCAATAACGGTTGGATGTTAAACAACAAGTGCAATCACAATAATTAAATACATGGATCAAACATGGAGATATTTCAAAATGGAAGGATGAACTGAAGACAATTTGTTGAAGCTGTTTTTAGTGATTAGTTTAGACACAAAAAGCCTCAAATATTTATTGAGATGGACAAGAAAAAGGGTAAGTGATTTCTGAATTTGTATTTCATTAACAAATATATAATATCCTTAAATTGCTATGTCTGGATTAAGGCATGGGCATTAGGGACTGAAGTCAAGCCCGGCCCCCCACCCCAGGTTTCTGTCGGATGGGAGCTTCCAGAAATTAAGGTTGGATTATTTCAAATGTGAATGCGGAATTAAAGTAATTACTCGTTCTCTAAATTATCTAGTTAAAGGGGTACAATTAGTGTAATATTATTCGATTCCACGGTTGTACGTGACAAGGAGTAGGGTTGCCTGTCCAACCTCGTGGGTTTTCTCCGGGTCCTCCGGTTTCCTCTCACTACTAAAGACCAGTACGCAAAAGCGAATTATTGAAATAAAATTAAACCATATGTTAGTCCCGGAATGGCCTAGTTTGTGTCGAGTGTCCTCGGCTTCTATATAATCAATAAAATAAAAAAAAAAGAAATGAAATGTGGTTTAACGTCCTACTGTTCTGCTCCGACTAGGCTAATAAAGATGAGCATACGCCATACAGTGTGCTATGAGCGAAATTTAGCCCGGGCCTACTTTTATATCGAATTCCAACTACCAGGGCATATTTTATGTGCACGCCAATGTGTACACGGGACCTCGATTTTGCGTCCCATCCGAACGACTACATAGCTGCCCTTGTCAGGCCCTCCGCCCCTGCACCACTGACAAGGGGAAACCACGCGGGAAAATCCCGATGAATTTTCGAAAGACCGAATGGTTAGCACGTGCGCGCTGTATCATAAGGCCTGTCATTGAGTCAACTGGCGTGTTTCGAATCCCCGGTTGTACGTGACAAGGAGTAGGGTTGCCTGTCCAACCTCGTGGGTTTTCTCCGGGTCCTCCCCCCCCCACTGCTAAAGACCCCTACGCGCAAGCGAATTATTGAAATACAATTAAACCATATGTTAGTCCCAAAATGACATAGTCTATGTCGAGTGGACGTTAAACCCCATTTCTCTCTTTTTCTCCCCCCCCCCCCTCTCTCTCTCTCTTACTTCAAAATGAAGCGAAACTTGTGACCTTCATAAGAAGATTATAGAATTGAGTACGGTTGTAAGGCTGTTATAATTGGGTGTATTATTTATGAGAGGTATATTCACTATATCTGTGTACCGTTATCACCGGGGATTTAGATTAGACAAGATTAATTGACTTACAATAGAGATTTACTTCTTAATTCTGTTATCTTCAAATCTCAAATAAAATGTCACATTTAGCTGGAATAATAAATTTGTGAATAATGAAATTGAAACTGTCCCGTATTTTGTTAAACATACATTATGACGTCACATTAATAATGACGTCATTGTATTAATCATATTAAACATACATTATGCAAGAGCTAAATCTGTCTATTGCAGGTCTTTCTTTAGGCCTGAAATGTTATCTAAATTATTTATTAGACATTAATTAACTTATCCAGACCATAATCAACTATTGATCTCATCAGATTTCTCCGATATTAAATAGATTGGAAAGGTTCAGCCATAGTTTGATTTAATTTAAAAATGGAGGAGCGAGACTTAGCCTCGAACAACCAGTACGGTGGTTGAAATTATTGCACACGTCTTGTCAAACCTTCAAATGCTAATATCTTCGCTCGCAATAGAGTAATTTGAATGAAATTTTCAAATTATTCATTTTACATTATCTATTTTCGATCTATTATAGCAAGAATGGCTAGCTCTTTATCTAAATCTAACATAATGTATCTTTAATAATATGTTAAATATCCCATGACCTCACTTTATCCACTCCGACAGGTGTTGTGGGCAGGTAATTATGAGTTTTCTATCTAAAAATAAACATCTAATCGGGTTACAAGTCGCATGTGTTAGTTACATATTAGCATGGAGTCACGGTAACTCGACGAGGTGGTTGTCAGAAGTGCAGGACGGAGGACTTGGAGAGCCTAATCATTCGGATGGTACGAAAATCCAAGTTACCGTGTATACATTGGCGTGCACGTAAAAGCATCTTGTAATCGAGGAAGCATCTACGGTACCCTTGACAACAACAAGTTTCCATCCACGCCCACTTTATCTGGAAGAACAAAAACTATTCCATCGATGAAATGTGTTTAATTTTCCACAGGATCCTCATCATACTATAACGTGCAACAGAAAGATGACATCAGTGATGATGCAAATCCGTTCAACGATGACCCAGATCGTGTACATAGATACAGTATTAGAAAAGCATCCAGAGCAGAAAATACATCGGTATGTTAACAATAAAACGTACGGCTATACATTGATTGATATTAACACGTCCCATTCTCCTACTCCAACGTAGTTCCCAATCTGTTTTTGCCAACGGCATACGTTGAAACAAAAGAAAAAATAGTGGCACACCTGGCTAAATAAGTCCCATACCTTCTCTTGTCCGACAGTTGAACCAAGTTGGTTCTTTGCACGTTTGAGCACAGAAAAGGGTCGTTTACCTTTCGGCAATGTCAAATAAATCGGTAGATTATTGACAGGATTTACTGAACCAAGCGAGAGAAAAGGAATCACAGAGAATTATTATGCGGGGCCCCTAAAATCGCGGGATATGGCTTATGTTCGGCTGTGCCTTAATCCGACCCTGATTTTCTACAAGGTCTGTAGATTCAATGACTCGATGAGTAATACCAGAGTATTCTTCCAAAAATGAGGTCAACTTGTTTATTTGTGTTTCAAAGCAACATTGTTTCTTTCTTTTTTTTCAGATCGCCATATCGACCCTTCCGATATCAACCTTTGTTCCCGATTATATGAATCTCGCAATATTCGCCACTATATGTTGTTGCTTGCCAATGGGCATTTTCGCTATAAGGAGAAATAAGGAGGTAAGACATCATCACCTTCAACCTTTAGACTACAAGAGGCATGCTCGTCGATAAGAGGGTGGGGGTTGGCGAGAGAGAGAGAGTGAGAGAGAGAGAGAGAGAGATGGGGTTTAACGTCCACTCGACACAAACTAGGTCATTTCAGGACTAACACATGGTTCAGTTTTATTTCAATAATTCGCTTGCGCGTAGGGGTCTTTATCAGTGGGATGAAACCGGAGGACCCAGGGAAAACCCACAGCGCACGTTCTAACCATTCGGTCATCCACCCCACCCCGGAATGGATGGGACAGTGTCTAGTCGTTCGGAATGGATGAAAACCAGTGGTTCCGTGTAGAGGTAGTGTGCACGTTAGAGAATCTTTGGCGGTAGGATTTCGATGAAGATTAGGCGGTCAACAATTTTTCGGACCACGGCACACTGTAATATGTCGTATGCATATCTTTCTTCATCGGAAAAAGCGCTGTCCGGGGAAATTTTCCCCATAACAAACTGCATGGCGTATGCGTATGCCAGTCTTCGTTTAGCGTGGTTGGGGTCGAAGAGAACGACGTTAAAACACTATCCAGTTCATATCGTGACAAATGCGTATAGTGGCATGGTTAGATCTATATGATAACGCCAACTTCAAGTTTGGTCAGAGGTCACGAGATGTAAACAGGGCTAGCGCTAATCCCAACCCTAACCCTGGCCCTAATGCTTACCCGAACCCTAACCTACAATCTCTCCAACGGACACTAACCTTTTTTACATCTCAACGACCTTGACAAAAATTGAGCTGTCTATAACAAATTTAGTGGCATCATGTTGAGCAGCCATGAAATAATAAATTTATCGTGTCTACCATTAAAGGCTTAATGCCGCTCTTGTTGTAACTGAATAATATGATGTCCCAATCTTTATTCTAGTCAACAAATTGTACTATTTTACAATATTCCAATTAATTGATGATACAATTTAAAAAAATTGGAAAAATTAAACTAAATGATTTGAAAAGCCTAACGTAAACCTTTTCAAATGTGACTTAATGGATTTAACCAGCGGCTGCCAGGCAGGATACGCCCACATTTTCGAGAGGTGGATAGAGAACAAGCTAAAAAGAAAGTGATTTTTCGTACAATCAGGGGCTATAATTCAGGAAGTTACGGTCCGATATGCGCGAATATCGAAAGGAACCGAGATCTTTGGATTATAAACTTACATTTCAAGTTTCAACAAAATCCGATAAAAAATTGTGACCTCTCTAGGGTCCACAACCTTGAAATACCATATTTTTACGGTATTTGAGAACAAAGGGCGTCCATTTTGTCTGTCAGTTTTGGACCGATTTTCACGGGTGTAACGGTGATATAATAATACGGTTTTTTAATTCGGATAAAAATTATGACCTCTATAGGGTCCACAAGCTAAAAATGTGATTTTTCGTACAATCAGGGGCCATAATTCAGGAAGTTACGGTCCGATATGCGCAAATATCGAAAAAGAACCGAGATCTTTGGGTTATAAACTTACATTTCAAGTTTCATCAAAATAGGATTAAAATTGGGACGTCTATAGAGTCCACAACCTTGATATACCATATTTTTACGCTATTTGAGAACGAAGGTTGGCCATTTTGTCTGTCAGTTTTGGGCTGATTTTCACGAAATTCGAACTTGGCCGTCCTTAGGGTGTAACGGTGATATAATAAAAGTTTTTTTAAATCGGATAAAAATTATGACCTCTACAGGGTCCACAAGCTAAAAACGCGATTTTTCGTACAATCAGGGGCCATAATTCAGGAAGTTACGGTCCGATATGCGCGAATATCAAAAGGAACCACGATCTTTGGGTTATAAACTTACATTTCAAGTTTCAACAAAACCGGATAAAAATTGTGACCTCTATAGGGTCCACAACCTTGATATACCATATTTTTACGCTATTTGAGAACGAACGGCGGCCATTTTGTCTGTCAGTTTAGGGGCGATTTTCACGAAATTCGAACTCAGCCGTCCTTAGGGTTTAACGGTGATATGATAATACGGTATTTTAAATCGGATAAAAATTATGACCTATATAGGGCCCACAAGCTAAAAACGCGATTTTTCGTACAATCAGAGGCCATAATTCAGGAAGTTACGTTCTCTTATGCCCGAATATCGAAAAGAACCGCGATCTTTGGGTTATAATCATACATTTTAAGTTTAAACTAAATCGGATAAAAATTGTGTCCTCTACAGTGTTCACAAGCTAAAAACGTGATTTTTCGTACAATCAGGGGCCATAATCCATGAAGTTACAGTCTGATACATGCCAATATCGAAAGGAACCTATATTTCAAGTTTCATTGAAATTGGTTAAAAATTGTGACCTGTAGACTGTTCACAAACAATTGTGGACGGACAGACGGACGGACAGGGGCGACGACAATATACGTCCACATGAAAATGTGGGCGTATAAAAATATTTTCGAACCCTCTGGACAAGTAAAATAGGATGTAATGGATAAGTAACACAACAGTTAGGACACATAAACATCTAATACTTAGAATAAGGCTATTATTTATTTTCTGGAGCTGTCAAGCCAGCAAGAGTGTTATTGTCCCTTTAAGGACATATTTTCTAAGAAAGTCAAAACATAATTATTTCTATGTCTTTTGCTCAATAGGTTGTCAACTCACTATTATACGATCATAGGTGTCATTCTCACACTTAAAACTCATTTTCACCGGAAATAATAACACAATTACCTCCCTTGTTTTCTATTCTCCACCATGGAGTAGTTATCTTCAAACGTTTGAATTTGAAGATAAAAATGATATTTTTGCCAATTTCTCAACTGGCAATAGTGAATTATAGGATTAATAGGATTATTCTTTAACTAGGCAGGACTGTATATAGATACTATCTATTTTAAGGCTTTATTTTATTAAATTTCAAAAATATAACTTAAAAATATGAAATTGCAACTTTAACGACCCCCTTTACCATATTTCAGGCACGACGTCTAAAAGAAAGTGGAGATATTCTTGGTGCCCAGAAAAAAGCTGCCTCGGCGAAACGATTGAGTATCTGGGGAATGGTTTTAGGATTTATATTTCTGGGTGTCGTGATTGGCGTGGGTGTTGGTATTTATCTTGATCATAAACATATTCCACATCACTACTATGGTCGGTAACCATAACAATATTCCACATCACTACTATGGTCGGTAACCATAGCAATATTCCATATCACCGATTACTTTTATTCCACATCATAGTTATTGTTGATAATGATGGCAATATATAGTTGGTAACCATAGCAATATTCCACAACATTATTATGGTTAATGATTATAGGGTTGATTTGATATTGATTGTTATATTCCACATCATTACTAATGTTGATAATTATAGTAATATTCCACATCATCATTAGGGTCAATAATTATAGCAATATTCCACATCGTTATTAGGGTCGATATTTATAGCAATATTCCACATCGTTATTAGGGTTGATAATTATAGCAATATTCCACATCATCATTAGGGTCAATAATTATAGCAATATTTCACCTCGTCATTAGGGTCGATAAATATTCCACATCATTATTAAGGTCGATAATTATAGCAATATTCCACATCATTATTTGGGTCGATAAATATACCAATATGGTTTAAAAGTCCATATCATTTATGACTGACAATTACATCGTTTGAAGAAGAATGACCAATTAAAATGAATGTATTTAAATATTGGTTTAAAAAGATGCGTGTGTGTTTTTTTGTCATGAAATAAAAGTATGATCTCAGAGAAATGTAATTTAACTTGCCTTTGTAATAGAATTAGTAATGATTACATGGATCTAAATTTAATTGGTCCACTGACTTGTTCAATCTGATTAAAATACAGATCTATATTTCGTTTCATTTTTTTATACTTTCGATGGGCCTGAACGTAGTAAAAACAAGTAAAAGGAACTTTTGAACTATTTAAAAAAAACAAAACGAAACGAAATAGGATTGCTGACTTCCAATACATTCTAATTAACATTAGAACTAGTAACATGGGGCTTAGAATCCGCTTCCATCGAGGTCAGGGTGATGTCAGAGACAAATATTTCCCAAGAAAGACGCTAGCCTGGAGGTAGCGTGTTCTATACTTGCATTGGCCAAGAAAGTTCCTCGGTTTTTCCGACGTGGTTTCCCCTTGGAACGGAGGTTCTGACAATGACAGCTGTCTAGTCGTTCAGATGTGACGAAAAACATAGGTCCTGTGTATATATTGGTGTGCACGTAAAAGATTCCTTGGCAGTTGGAATTCGATATAAACCAGTAGGCTATAGTGCCGCTGACCGGATAGCACAGTTGGAGCAGAACAGTAGGGTGTTTAATCCCATTTCGTTTCATTTCCTAACAAACTTGCCAGCCAAGGTAGGAATTCGCAGCCCATATCTCCGTAAACAGTCATGTCAACTGAAATACATTGACCAATGGAACTTGGTCAGGGCCCATGGGACAGCAGTGGGATGGTTGATGACCAGCCCGTGTTGATGACCCAACCAAAGGAATAGTAGCTGAATGACCATTCAAAATTGTCAACAATTTTAATCAATGTAACTAAAGGAAATAGCTTACACGGGATATCATATCGGCATTACTCTGTTTTAGCGGATCAAGAAATGGCCTTAGTACAATGTCCACTGATTGAGGCTGAATCCACGAAAAAAATGGACAAAAAATGTTGAGTAAATTCTTTATTATTTTTTTTTATTGGGTTTCTGACAAAACTCAGTTTCACCAAACCATGATTATAACTAATTACCTATCACAAAAAGAGTTGAAGAAGTTACACTGTATATTTACAATAGATAAAATAAAAGAATAACGGTCACATAGGCTGAGAATCAACGTTTCGGCCACAGTTTTTTTTTTTAAAACACCTTAGACAGTTTGCACCTGTTAGCACCTATTGTTGAAACGGCCTACCATGGGGTGAACATGTACGATGCTTCGGGCGACGACGTTTTGGTCATAGCGGCTTATAACTCCAGCTCTAACCAGTTGCCTCTATAAGCTTTGCTTGTTGATTGGTGTTTTACGTCTACGTCCACAATTAGCAATATCACAGGCAATCCAGTTAGCAGTTGTTGCCGAAACGTCGGTCTAACATCTGGTGATGTATCTGAAGATGCAGTTAAATGAAAGATTTAACAAATGACAGAAAATGGAGTAATTAGTCGACAGATAGTTTTTTTTATATATGGCATGCCATTTCTTCATGACACGTGTACAGTAAGCATAAATAATACATGTATTTACAAAAGAAGAAAGAAGAGTACAAGTACAGATACCAATTAACGGAAACAGCCGGAACTTGCCGGAAACTACTTATAACGGTACGGATTAGTTACTAATAGTAATTCACAATGCAAAAATCGGTTTTAGGTACGAATTGAATCAAATGGGGTTTAACTCCTATTTCTCTACACCAACAGGGTGAATGAAGTCGGACATACGCCATACAGAGTGATACATAGAAATTTTGCTGCTATTAGTCTCCTCTTCATTGACTTACAATTCTTAAGGACATACTTATTTTTTTTTTTATCCAATTAAATGTTTTAGACCTGTTGCAGCAATATTCTAAAACTATTCTATAAAAACTACAAACCCTGTAGGAAAAAACTGAGTCTGATTTTTGTCTGACTAAAGTACAATTTAATAACAAGCATTATCAATCATATAAAATGTGTTTTATTGTTCTGCTAATGTGGAGGACCCGGAGTGTTTTATTGGTCAGTATTCACTGAACTCGTCAATGGCTACAGATGTAATAGATAATGACAACAAAGCAAATTTTAGATTGGTGCCATAAGCTAACAGATCAATGTCTTATTTACAAAGTAATACTTAATTTTTAAAGATACATTAGTTAAAAGTTTAATTAATAAAGAGTTGGCCATTCTTGCTATAATAATTCAAAAATAGATGATGAAAAAAGAAAATATTGAATTTTTTATGTTATATAAATTAGACAAGTACGGTGGTTACCATGATAGACAATCAATGCACGCATTTTGTCAAAACTACAAACAGTGATAACTTGCCTCATAACAAAGTAATTTGAATAAAATTTTGAATTATATAAATTTTGAATTATATAAATTTTGAATTATATTAATTTTGAATTATATAAATTTTAAATTATCTATTTTTGAATTATTATAGTAAGAACTGCCAGCCCTTTATCTAAATCTTACATAATGTATCTTTAATTAATCTGCTGAATAGCTAAAATATTTCAATTTTCATAACAAGGCCTCCGTTCTGGACAGGGAAGCCAAGGCCAAATTTATATTAGGCCTACAATTTAAAATAAAAAGAGGAAAATAACATAAAAGAAAACCCAGTGTAAAACTATATTGGTGATAAAATAAAATTGTTTTGTTGTTAAATACATGTACATGTAGTTGTACACATTTATATACAGCATGCCTATAGTCGGTCTAAAATTATCCCATTTTTTTTTTTTTTTTTTTTTTATTATTGGTGGTTGTTCACTTCATATTGTAACCCTGGTATCATTTAATCTTGTGTATTTAGCACTAATTTCTTTCACATTCATTTAATATCAAATCTTAAAACTCGTAAAAATCATTTAAAACCACCAAATATTATCTAATTTGTACTTGTGTCCAGTTTAAAGCTGACCATTCAATTTTGATAATAATTTAAATTAGTGTCCACTTGATAAAAAATAAACGACCCAATTGATTATTGATGTATAATGATTAATATTTGAACAGTGGTCAGGAAATTAAATACTTGTAAATTGGGAGAGAGAGAGAGAAATGGGGTTTTAACGTCCACTTGACACAAACTAGGTCATTTCGGGACTAACATATGGTTTAATTTTATTTACATAATTCGCTTGCGCGTAGGGGTCTTTAGCAGTGGGAAGAAACCGGAGGACCCGGAGAAAACCCACGAGGTTGGACAGGCGACCCTACTCCTTGCCACGTACAACCAGGGATTCGAAACCACGCCAGTCGACTCAATGACAGACTTTATGATACAGCGCGCGCACACTAACCATTCAGCCATCCAACCCCCCCACTTGTAAATTGGATATTCATTATCAAAATAAATCAGTTTGAAACTGAACACACGTAAAAATTAGATGATTTTAAATGATTCTTACAAAATTTTAAATAAAGATTTAATAATAAATGTATGTGAAAGAAATGAGTGCTAAATACACAAGATTAAATGATACCAGTGTTACAGTGTATAGGGTGAAGTGAGTCAGTAATGTGCAGATTGTGACATGATTTGACTCCAGACAAACCTGCCAATCAAATCCAGTCAACACTTGTTTGATTAGAGATAAATTTGACGGGGTGTCTCATGGAGATTAACATGGTTCTTAGAATATTTAATACAATGGAGATGATAAATATAGAAAATAAAAACACTATAAAAACTGATTATTTAATCTTCTTCTGTGCTGTTCCTATATTACATTGATTCACCTAAAATACACAAATAAATACTTCAAATATCATGTAAAACACCATATTGAGGGAGAGAGAGAGAGAGAGAGAGAGAAATGGGGTCTCGACATAAACTAGGTCATTTCAGGGCTAACATATGGTTCAATTTTAATTCAATAATTCGCTTGCGCGTAGGGGTCTTTTGCAGTGGAAGGAAACTTGAGAAAACCCACGAGGTTGGACAAGTGACCCTACTCTTTGTCACGTAAAAGCGGGTAATGGAAACCATGCCACTTGACTCAATGACAGACCATATGATCCACACGCACTAACCATTCGCTCACCCAACCCTCCAGTTTGTAGATAATCATAATATAATATATGTTTTAACGCCTTGCAAAGACTCAAAGTGGTTTGTTTCTATAAATTAATAACAATATGACCAAGTTGTTTTAAATATATCAGCCATTGCCGTCCGTAAAATGATACAACGTAACGCGAGTCGATGGTTGGCAAATGAAATTAAATAAAAGGGGGTTTAACGTCCTATGTTTTTGTACCAACTAGGATTATGAAGACGGGCATACGCCATACAGTGCGCTATGGCCTATCGAATTCCAACTGCCAAGGGATCTTTTACATGCATGCCAATGTATACACGGGACCTTGTTTTTTTTTAATCCCATCCGAACGACTAGACAGCTGTCCTTGTCAGGCCCTCAGTCCTGTACCACTGTAAATGCAGGGATCGAACACCCGACTAGCGAGCCAGCATCTTACCCCCTTAGCCACTATGGCTCCTCGATGATTGACTGGGAAACCTCACGTTACAAAGAATTAAATCTTACCTTTGTAGCGAATCGTAATGAATTAAGAGATTCGTTAAAATATTCTTCGCGTGGGTTGATGTTGACAAACATGAGTGTTTTACTGTTTCCACCGAGTGAATTTTGTAACAGATATGTCAGTTTACTGTTACGATATGGTACATGACTTTCCTGAAATTACAACAAAAAAAAATCTATTAAAGTCTCAGTGAAAGTTGAATCCCAAAAGAAATATAAATCCACAAATGGTTTAAACATAAATCTGCCTATTGAAGGCCTTTCTTTAGGCCTGAAATGTTATCTAAAATATTAAGTTAACATTAATTAAATTATAAAGACCATAATCAGCTCTAGATGTCCTAGCCTGTGATTAGGGTCCAATTTGCTGCTCTACGCTCATTCATGATTAAATTAAGAATTGGTTAATCAAGACTATGTATTTTATTGTATCGACTTTAGTAATGATGATTGAGGCTAGGCCCAAAATTCAATCACTAAATTCTTGGATTGAGGGTGGATCATTTTGACTAAAATTTTCAGCAAATTCACGTTACATTATCTAGTTTTTAACTTTTATAGCGAGAACTGCCAGTTCTT